CGAGTGGAGCGCCAGTCACCTGGGCAGACAGATCTTCTCTCATGTATGGCTAAAATCTGGTATGCTCAAGAATGCACAAGAGCTGAAAGGACGCGCGCAACAGCTTTCTCAAACGACGCCGGCGAGTTTCAAGGTTATTTTCTGTCTCAGTGGATCAACGAACGAGATATTAAAACCTGGACGCTCTTCCACCTTGGCTTGGTGCGTGATGCGCTGGATCAAGGCCACACCAACAATTTGATTGAGCGGTAAGCTTGTGATGATTGTGAGTCGCTTGTCCCGTGCCGAACTTTGGAACCTCGTTGACTTGTCATTGCGACTTGCCTCCCCCATAGCTTTTTCGGCACGTTCAAGTACAAGTTTCTGAAAGGTTACCGCATGCACGATTTGGCAGGTCTCGCAATCAGGATTGTTCGGGACACGAACCAGCACTTCTGTTTGCAACGCCAACGCCAGCGACTCGACAAGCCGAATGTCGCCTTCCTTCCAAAGTTCCGCTCCTTACTGCTTGAGAAAGAGATGCACGCAGAGAAGCTCGTGGAAACCGGTCAGGTGTTGGAGCTTCATCGCTACTTTGGTGTAGGACTTGTTCTGCCTCAGCGGACGCTTTCTGAGCTTGATCTACTCCAAATTCGCGAACTCGCAAACGCTCACCTTGAGCCATTTTATCAGACGCGTGGCATGCCCTTGACTGAGGGTTTGCAGCAGCTGCACGAAGCGCTGAAGCAACAGTACCCAGATGTTGTGGTCGTTGGTGTCGAGCGGCGCTTTTGCAGCGCCATGCACGATCACGCTTTCATTTGCAGCCACATCCGTGCCGTCGCGCGGCACTTTGGAGGCATCGAGAACTTTCGTCTTCAAATCCATTCTCTCTTCGAAGAGCCACCAGTGTGTCCCGTGTCCCGCTCAGCACCCGTCAATCCTGCAAGCGAATCTGCTGTGTCCGCAGCCACTACTGCTTATGCCGATGATGCCCTGCCGACTGGCGCAACCGACATGGCCGTAGACGATCAGCTTGATGCAGACGGACCTGCTCGCACCTCTGACATGGCCGTAGACGATCACCTTCCCTCGGGCCCGGATGCAGACGGACCTGCTGACCGCACCTCGGACCTCCCCGCCGAGCTCGATCCGAATCACGGAGCGTCACCTTCTGCGCGTAACTCCGATGATGCTCCAGAGCACAGCTCTGGCCTTGTTGAGACG